CCAAAAAAAAAAAAAAGCAAAAATATGTCCTGCTCTTAATGCATGCCAATTTTTTGTGTTATTTTTGTGAAGCGTGCTCAGGCTGAGTCACTTGAAAGTTTAAAAATACTTTCGAACTCTTTTTAAATTCGATGTTAAGGTGATGAAAAGAAAAACAAATGTGCAGAGCAGTTGAACTATCATGGCACTAGCACCTGCCTTAAATAAATTATTTATTTACGGTCTCTAACCCCTGATACTTTATCGCCATACCTACTCCATTTGCATCTAGACCACTATCAGCTGATCTTTTTTATGCATGCATAGTAACTGGGACTGATGATATATGGTACTTGTTCATTATATTGCCATCCCTAGTGCGGATTAAATGAGAAGAAATCAGAAGTCCGAAATAAAAATAAGAAGCTATAATGCTTCAACTTAATCTGTTGGTTGACTAATATTTTTTTTATAAATATGAGCAGGCAAATGCGACATTTGGCACGTGTGATGTACCTTTGCTTTCACCTCCACCACCAGCAGCGCTGTTACCTGGAGCACCGGGAACACCACAAGGACCGGGCAATGATTCTTTAACTACCAGGGCAGTCCAGCTACATTGGCTGATAGGGACATTCTTTACCACAATGCTATTACTCTGCTTCTAATTGATTACAGATCCTCTTATTTTTTCTAAACCACACGGTTGTTTTTTTTTTTAAAAATGACAGATGGGCCACTTGTTTCGCTTGTTGAGTCTTGTATTTTTCCAATTTTTGTATACAAAAGTCAATAATATACGAGCCAATTCTGTCATTTGGTGTGTTTTAGATGTTGTCTAAGGTTAAATTTCCGTGCACACAGCTTCCTAACCTGTGCTTCCTCCAGTGAAAAATCAGCATATCAAGCATTAGATGGAAAATTGATTGGTTTATTGTCTTATTTCTAGCAATCTGTGGACCAATAAACCATGACAACACGGACCTGCAACTTAATCAGCTGCGGTTATAAAATCCCTACTGAGTACGTATTATGTAGGGCAATTGAAAAATTATCCACTGGATAATTCCATTGCGAACAACCCAGTAGGATTCGAATACATATGAAGTTCTGATTGTCTGTGAGAGTAAAAAGAACGAACAGATTTTGCAGGATCAGCTGACTCAACCCTTTCCATGAAAATTGCAAACTTGTGTGTTTTGAGGTAAAGCAGCAGGAGGAAGACTGTCCATTCTTTGGCCATGGTAGAACATAAAAGAGTTAAGACTCTACATACAGAAGCCAACCACCTGAATGAGACTTAGTGCATGTGCCTATTGATTTGTTTCTTTCAAGCATATGGGTTTTCCCAGAGACACTGCATTTCCCAAGCCACCCAGACATAGTCCTACCCTCGTTTGCAATGATAAATCCACATCAGGTTCATTGACAGTGTGGACTATATTGTCTTATACATGAGATAAATATCAAAAAAATCGAATCAATAGGTCACTGGTTCATCTGTTTTATCAAACAATCGGACTGGAAAAAAATATAAGAAATAATTAAAATAATCATAAATATTCTGTAACTTTGAAAATCTATGTAGGTCAAGTGCTTGAGATAAATATAAAGTAAAATATTAAGCATGTCCATAATGCATCCAAGACAACTTATGAAAGTAAAATTTACATTTCCAATTTTAATCTCACCACCTGGTTAATGACTCACTTGTTCTATTAACACGATTATTCAGGACATGAACAGTTTATCATAGAAACGATCTAAATGTTAATCCAACTGAGTTTAGAGATTGGATTGACCCATTCGTCCGAATGGAGTTTAACAACACTGCTAAATACAAAGTTGAGCAAAGTATANATCTAAATGTTAATCCAACTGAGTTTAGAGATTGGATTGACCCATTCGTCCGAATGGAGTTTAACAACACTGCTAAATACAAAGTTGAGCAAAGTATACATTATTGTTTAGGAAAACTCTATTTTTTTTTTATTACACGTATGTTCAACCGGGCACTGATAATTCCCTCAAGCTCAGATGCTAGTTACCATAATTTGAGCGGATTTAGAACATGTTTCATGAGGAAACAAGGGTTTAAAGTATTGAATCTAAGACCTATAAGTCATCAAAAGTCAAGTTTAGCTACTAAACTACATCTATGGGTTGGACAAAATTTTAATCTAGAACGCCAATCAGGATATCTATTTCGGTCGGAGGTGATACAATCATGGAAAATGCTATTTGTACCTTTAAAGATCTAATTAATTACAATAATGTTATTCAGATATAATTTATTAACATAATATATTAACCAAATTTATTTCAACTGGTAGATTGATAGTAGGCTTCATTTAATATTAGATTGATTGCAATGAATTAAGTTAATAAATTAAGTTAAAATAACATTACTCAATCAATTATAATTATTAAATTAAAAGTGACTATATTTAATATTTAAATTCATAATTAATTCGACCATAATGAATTAAATTAGAATTAAGTTCTCCCTTTCCTTTAGTCATAATGAGTTGCCAAGTCACACTGATGCTAAAGGTTCCAAATCAATGTGTATGCGTACCCAAAAAATAAAAATTTGACTTTGATATCAAAAAAAAAAATAAAAAATTGCACCATATCTCCATAATTTATTACTATATTAAAAGGTATTTTTATAATTTTTGTGAGTTAATTTATAACTAAAAAATTTATTATTTTTATGGGTATTTTATAACTTTTGTAAGTATTTTTATCACTGTTGTAGTTATTTTTATCACATTTATGGTAACTATTTTTATTATTTTTTTTTATCATACAAAAAAAGTTATCACTTTTGTAAATAGTTTATCATATTTATGGATATTTTTATTACTATTATGATAATTATATTTACCATTTTTTTAGATACTACAATAATCATAAAAAAATTCATAAGTGAAGATACAATATCAGGAAAAAAAAAATATTTGACACTGCAGTCAACTCCAAACACAATAACCTTGCAAAAGGGGGGTAATGTACTTGATGCTCTGTATGGACTGATAATTTCTCACACCAACCTGAACAGTGTTCACCTACAAACCATCATTGCTAGTAAAAAGGTTAATAAATTTTGAAGACGGATCTTGGTGTAACAACAAAGTTATTCAACGGTAACCCATTGAGTATTGAGTAACATCAGTCATAGAAATAATTGGTCGCATGCGAGAGGTAAAACAAAACAGCATATATTTGAAAATTTTTCAGTAGCATCCGGAACTAGACTGTCCTTCACTACAGCCAAAACCTCAAAACAATAAAGGCCTCCTTGTGCCTTTCTTCCCAGGGCAGGACCAGCTAACTTAGGGTCCAAAGATTCCAAGACATGTTTACATTCCCAGCTGTCATGCTTTTTCAACCCGTAGGAAATCCTCTATCTACGCAGAGAGGACTAGCCATCATGTTACTGGAGGGACCTCCATTAATGATCAATCTCCCTACCCACTTAGCATAGAAGTCATCCGCGTCACCATTTCTCGATCACATGGGAATTTATAGCCATATTTCATTGTCGTTGAATGTGATGAAATTGAGCAGTTTGTCCTCTATACCACCAAGCCGCAAGAGTAGTTATCTGCCAAAAGTACAGCATTACAATCTACAAAAAAAAAAATGTAGGTCTTTTCTTCTAATTGATAATAAAAATCATCCAAATTCTAGATTTCAAAGTTCTCAATAGACGGTCTGGTTATATATTTGTGTTATATGACAGAGAGTTCATCAACAGTAGTAGAATTTGAGCTATAGAAGCTTTAAGACTAGCAAAAGAAAGAGGGATAGATACGGGATGTGAATAAAATGGCAGAGAATTTAATAAAAACATTGTCTAAAACACAGAAAGAGACTTGTAGCAAAGAACTGATATGATCTTCCATTAAATAGGATCGACTAAAATACAATAAGTCATTCACAAATACAAATTATGGCTCACCCTTTATACCCTCTCTTAATCTAGAGAAGAAAGCAATTGAGAAGTATGGTTGAAATCATTTATAAAGCTATACTTAAATTGTGCTGCTGTAAACATTAGCAGCTACACAGAAGGTTGGGCAACACTAGTATGGAAGGATGTGTGGAGGCCACCTTCAATATAGAGAGACAGCCAAATGGTAGAAATGTGCCAGTTCAACTATTATTTGAGTTGGATAATTTTCACTGTTTTTCTTCTTGAAATCCTTCGTTTCTCCATCATGAACCATCGGCATGAACTCCACTTTCACACCCACTGTTGTCACCTGACTCTGTCTGGTGCTTCTCCTTCGATCCACCCTTTGGACTGTCTTGATGTGCACGCCCTGGCTCCCTCCCAGCTCTTCGATCCTAAAACAAGATGCTTACACCTTAATCAATTGATTAATGGAAACACGTACTAGCATCTTGCAATAAATAATGAAAAGAAAGTTGTCTTATCATTAACTACAGTAGTGAAAATTGAACAGGCTTTGGAGCTTAATTTCTCTAACCAATGCTTCTTGCAATTGGTTATTTAAAAGGTGATTATATGTTCCGTCTGAGCTCCAGAAAAAGAGGGAAGAACAGAGGCTAGCAAGTAGCAAGTTCCCCCGAGATTGTTTAAGACTATAAGCATAAGAGAGAGGGTTAATTGGCTGTCAGATTTTATCCACCGGGACCAAAATTTTTACAATCCTCACTCCAGTTGGGTGTTTTCATCAGTGTTCACCATGCTCTAATCTCTCAGTTTGTTAAGTAATAGGAGACTAAACCAGTCTTGCTAATCCTTTGTCTAATATGCAACTTCCAATAATTTTTGACTTTGAAGTGTTTTTTTCATTTGGTTGATCTAAATTCCATAACGCAGGCTGATACGAGCCATTCAACATATACAACTTAAGACTTCCTAAGAATATTGTGATGCTATAGCAGGTATAAATTGAAATTTTAGAATAGTATACTCACATCTCTAAAGGGAGATTCTTCAGCTTCAAGCATATGTACCACGTGCCCCATTTTCGGTCGCTTCTGTGCATTTGGATCTACACAGCGTAAAGCTACTAAAAGAGCCCGCTTCAATGCCCTTGTAGAAGGCTTTTCAGATAGCTTGGGATCCAAAATTGCCTCCGGGTTTCTATTTGCAACCATCCTTTTCAGCCAATCAACTAAGTTCACCTGATACAGATCGACTTGAATCAAGCAACATTCTAGAAGAGGAAGTAGCAAAACCTTGCAAGCTCTTTCTTGGTGTATATGTATTATTTATCATTAGCTAGTGATTTTAGTATGTCAGTGCAAACCTCATCTGAAGGCCGGCTATTATCAACAGGGTTCCTCCCCGAAATGATTTCCATTATGAGAATCCCAAAACTATATACATCACTTCTCTCGTTCAACATACCCGTACTAGCGTACTCCGGAGCAACATAGCTGCAAAAGCAGGAAAAAAAATCACTAACCCTGTCGCAAAGAGAGGAAAAAGATGGGATCAAGGATTTGTAAGAAGGTGATAGACAGACCCAAATGTTCCCATCACACGGGTTGTGATGTAGCTACTCTCCGAGCCAAGGAGTTTGGCAAGTCCAAAATCAGAGACCTTGGAATTCCACTGCTTATCAAGTAAGATATTGCTTGATTTAATATCGCGGTGAACAACTTTGGGTTCGAGTCCCTCATGAAGGTAAGCTAACCTGCATTGCTAAATAAATTTCTGATCAAGAATGCAACACCACATATAGTATTTTTAATGGCGAATGAGAAAAAAAATTGAACATAACGTTACCCTTTTGCTGTTCCCAGAATGATATTCATCCGGATATCCCAAGTAAGAGGACTGCAAGACCCTACATCCCCGTGAAGCCATTGCTCTAAGTTCCCATTATCTACATACTCATAAACAAGAATCCTATAACAAAACACGTATTAGTACGGTAATCCCCTTTCAAGATGTCATATTTATATAGCCTTTAAACAGAGATGAACAATTCTCACAAACACTTGGAGGGCTTAAATCAATATGTGAAAGAAACAGGATAATTAGCCAAAAGCAAGTGTACCTATGAGCTCCTTCAGCACAGTAGCCTAGCAGCCTCACTAAATTCTTATGCCTAACTCGGCCTATTGCTTCAACTTCAACTTCAAACTCCTTCTCAGCTTGTCCCCTGTCGCATACGAAAAATTCTTTTACCAATTATGTGGCTTACCACCAATAAAATACGCAAAAAGAATGTTCAATTTTACATGATACCAATGAATAACACCTTATAGCCTGCAAACAAAACTACAAAGATAAAATTGAATTGCATTCATGTGATATAAGAAACAAGAAGGCACCTATTGTTGAGTAAGTTCTTGACAGCAATTTGAGTGTTGTCCTGTAACACACCATGGTAAACAATTCCATAACCCCCTTCACCAATCACATTCTCGTCGGCAAACCCATTTGTGGATGCTTCAAGCTCTCTGAGAGTGTACCAGTGTCCCCAACCCAAATGTGAAACTTCAGGAACCGCCATACCCACCTGATCACCTAATCTAGTCTCACCATTACACCCATGTGAACACAACCCTCCAAACCTTTCAGGATAGACAATCCTATGATCCTTTCCAATCTCAATGTGAATTCTCGGATACCCAATTGGGTTTTCTTCATCTGGCTTCAACAGCAGAGCTTGTCTCTCAACCCCAGTGAATTGTTCCAATTCTAGACAAGAGTTGGGTTGGACTCTGGCATGGTTTCCATTTGAATGATCAGTACGTGCGTGGTCGATTCTGATTTCTTGGATGTCCCTTGACACATTTGGGATGGTGTGTTGATGAGATGGCTTGGGTTTGTGTGTGTTGTTTCGCTTTGAGGTGAACCACAGAGAGATGAGGAAGAGAATAAGAACAATGGCAGCTCCAACACAGACACCCAGAACGACCCACAAGTGCAACCCAAAGATTGAAGTTTTCCTTGAGAGCTGATCATTAATGAACGTAGATTGGTGTTCAGACATTGAAGCTGTCAATTATATCCGTATTTCAAGAAGATGCAGTTGATGCATGTAACATTGACTGAGATCAAGCCACAGTCATTCTTATGTTCACAGCCAGCTATAGAGATTGGGGAGGCAATATAGAGTGAGAGGAGTGGAGAGTGGAGGGAGAGAGAGAGAGAGAGAGAGAGAGAGAGAGTGGTGTATGAAAATAGCAGCTGGAGATTGGTGAGGGTATACAGAGTGAAAGGAAGGAGAGAGAGAGAGAGAGGTGTACGAAAATAGCAGCTGTCATGATGGGACTTTGGAATCTGACCATCCTAACTGGTTTTGTATTTCATGGACTCGAGCTCGTTGTAGGGTCGTTTGTGTTCTTTACAAGGAACGCTTGATTAAATAACAGGACCCACTTTGAGTGGGCTCCTACTTATCATTGATGACGTGGCAGAACATGGCCCAATTAATTGGACGAGTCAGATGGGGCTTTATGCGGAGGAGCCAAGCCCTTCGAACGTCAAAGCGAATTTTTTGTACGTTAACAGACCCTCTTGGTATTCTTTAATGGGTCAGAAGCATGCTGGTTTAGAACACAGGAAATCCTAGATGTAACCCAATCTTGTATTGACACGTGTCATTCGAAAAACCTCATTGTTATCAAAGATTTGCGAAGAAAAAACAGTTCTCCGGATCAAACCAAACAGCTCATATATTTATTTTTTTTTTGGGAGGGAAGGAGATTTGAACCTTTGATTTCAAGAAGATAAATTTTTTATAAAATAAAGAGTACTATTAAACCAAAAGACTCATTGATAACCAAACAGCTCCTAATTTTTGAAACTGTGTCCATTTGTTTACTTACATTTTCACTATTATATACTTTTTTCGTTCTTAAATATCTGTCATTTAAAGTTTTTGTACAGGGATTAAGGAAGCTATTAAATAGTTGTAATATGAGTAAAAAATAATTGCACAAGATTAAAATACTCTTATTCAATATGTATTGGGAATGAAAAAAATATGAAAGACACTTAGCCTCCACTTAAACTAATGCATTGAAAAGTTAAGGGTGAATTTGGAAGAAAAAATATTAATTATGTTTTAGTTTTATAAAACGACAGATATTATGGAACAAAAAAATTTATATAAAACGACAGATATTTAGGAACGGAGGGAGTATTTAAAAGAGAATTATATTCAAACTCTTTGAAATTTGTTATTTAATCATTCAGAGTTCCTAATATTTAAAAAATTATAAATAAACTCCCTAAATTTTGTACACGCATAACATTTATACATCTGCCGTCAATGTTTGGAGTTATATCCGTTAATAAATTATATCTAAACCCCCTAAATTTTGTAGCCTTAGAATATTTAAACCTCTCAATTTTAAAATGTTATACTTATACCAAAAATACTCTAATCAAATATCAAATATTTTAAATTTTACAACAAAAATTCATGTTTTGTTGTATTATTTATTGAAATGAAATCAAAAATAAAAGTCAAATTTTTATTAAAAAAATTATAATTAGTATATAATTATACTATCTATTAAAATAAAACTAAAAAAATTAAATAAAGAGTCAAATTATAATGTATATAATATCTTCTATCTTTAATTGAGGGTAATTTGATAGTTTAATTTAGTCGTTTAAGCTATTAAATTAAATTCTAATAGATAGTATAATTGTATACTAATTATAATTTTTAATAAAAATTTAAATTTAAATTTTTTATTTTATTTCAATAAATGACATAATGGAACATGAAATTTGGTCATAAAATTTAAAATATTTGATATTCTATCTTTGATTTGAGTATTTTTAATTTAAATATAATATTTTAAACTTGAGGGGTTTAAATATTACATGCTTATAAATTTCAAGGAGTCTGTAGTATAATTTAATAACGAATATACATTGACGGTAAGGGTCTAAGTGTTACATGCATACAAACTTCAGGAAATCTATGTATAATATTTTTAATGTTATGAGATCTGAGTGATTAAGTAAAAAATTTCAAGGAGTCTGATTGTAATTCTTCCTATATTTAAATAAAATTTATTAATAGTAAATGACCCGTTAAAAAATTAAAAATAAAATATATTATAAAAAATCGACATCCATCTCTTTCCATCTTTGTTTTTTTGGTAAATATGGTGACATAACATAATCATATCCAACCTTTTTTAACCAAACAATATTAAATGATTAAATTAATTTGTTAACACATTAGGGTCTCCTCCCCTCCTTTTTTTTTTTTTTTGGTGTTTTTCACCTTTAGGTTTGTTTGGTTTGAAAGAAAAGGGTGATGAAAAGTAAAAGTAAAAAACATAAAGTGAAATAATTTTTTTTTTTTTTTGTATGTAGTTGATTTAGAATAAATTTTTTGAAGAAAAATTATAAAAAAGATTAAAATTTATTGTTTGGAAAGCATGAAGTTAGAGCAAAATTTTGACATATGACTAAATCACCCTTATCAAATTTGCTAAGTTGATAATATCTGCAGGGAACAATGAGTAAAGAGGGAATGTAAGATAATGGCTCCTACTTTTCCAAAGAAAAAACCAAATTTCCCTTCACATTATATGGTAAACATATTGGGTTCTTTAGTAGAAAATTTTGTGGGACAAGAATTTTTTTTAATTTTTTTTTTCATATTCTACTACATTTCCTTCTAAACAAACACGGATAAGTTTCATTTCTTGTTGTCACACCCCGATCGCACGAGCACATTATGAGTTCTAGAATGATAAAACATGTTACTATCGCAGTCCAAATCCACATACAATCATACTAACATCCATAAACCTCATGAAGATACATAGCATACATTACTCGGTCATAGTCATTGTTACAATGGAAGTACAAAATTTGATCTTATTACAATGTACATGCTCTTTACAGACGTTCAAACACTAAGTAAACATGAACTGACAATTCGGCTATACACAATATTTATACTTCCGTCCAATCTAATTTGAAAAGAAGGAAATAATATAGGGCGGACATCAACAGTTCAGTAGAAAAATCTCATTTTCAATACACGGGTTTGAAAATAAGTAATTTGATAGTATTGAGCATTAACAAACATTCATTGTTGAGTAAATTAACAATTTGCAGGTTTAGAAGTACGTGTTGTCCTAGTTCTCTGAGTTGTCTCAATCTTTAGAATGTTCTGCTAGTTTGTTTCTAATTTACCTACTCCATAGGAGTTTGTTTTGCTCATTGAGTAATGCCTATTTTTGTGTTATTATTCCTTGTGTACTAACATATATAAAGGTTGTTTGTTTGATGAATAAATAGAGGTACATCCCCTATTAAATTTTTTTTTTTATCTCCTTTATTTTTTAGACACTAGTATCAGAGCAAGCAAGTTGATGAGAGTAAAGGTGTGACTGATGACTTCCGAAACTTACGTACAACTAGCCATTCCACGCTTTGATGGTCACTATGACCATTAGAGCATGCTCATGAAGAACTTCTTGAGGTCCAAAGAATATTGGACAGTTGTTGCTTCTGGAGTAGCAGAACCAACAACAAGTGTTGTGCTGATAGATGCTCAAAAGACAGAGCTTGAAGGGTTAAAGTTAAAAGATCTCAAAGAAAAAAATTGTCTCTTTCAAGCTATTGATCGTTCAATCTTGGAAACCATTCTTTATGAAGACACTTCCGAGAAGAGTTGGGACTCTATGAAGAAGAAGTATTAGGGAACAACAAAGGCAAAACGAGCACAGCTTCAGGCACTTCGCATTGATATCGAAACTTTATGCTTGAAGATGGGAAAAATCGATTTCAAATTACTTCTCAAAGATGATGGCAATAGCAAATAAAATGTGGATTCATGGCGAACAAGCTAACAGAACATCCTAAAGATTGGGACAACCGAGAGTACTAGGACAACACATACTTCTAAACCTGCAAATTGTTAATTTACTCAACAATCCCTCCCTTAAACTGATGTTCCGAACCCAACAGTTAGTTTAATAAGGGTCAAACTTTGAAGCACCATCTCTCAAATTTCCTGCATTTCAGAGGCTGGGGAAGTTGCTTGGTGTTTGCACTTCAAGTCCCTTTGGGGACATCTGATAAAATTGAAACGATACAGAGAAGATTAACATGGCCTCCTGCACAAGGATGATATGCACAAATCGAGCAATGGTGTTTGCACTTCAAATCATTCAATTTAAGGGATGGTGCTTCAAAGTTTGACCCTTATTAAACTGACTGTTGTGTTCGGAACATTAGTTTTAAGGGAGGGATTGATGAGTAAATTAACAATTTGCAGGTTTAGAAGTATGTGTTGTCCTATTAGTCTAGGTTGTTCCAATCTTTAGGATGTTCTACTAGTTTGTTTTTGATTTACCTAGTTCAAAGGGGTTTGTTTTGCATGTTTTTTTTTTTGGCTAGAGAACACTACAACACTTTTTGTTTTGCATGTTGAATAGTGCCTATTTTCATGTTATTATTCATTGTGTATTAGCCTATATAAAGGGTGTTTGTTTGATGAATAAAGCAGAGAGGAACATCCCCTGTTAAAGTTTTTTTTTATCTCCTTTATTTTTTTGACAGTCATTTCATATGGTAATGTAAAAAAAAATAGCAAACAAAAATAGTTATTTACAAAAATGATTAAATAATATCAATACAATGTCACATTAGATAGTTAAAATCCTAATGGACTATTCAGAGTTGGTATGAATCATACGATCAAACCTTTTAGGGGGCTTGCATCCCAAAAAAGATACGCTTTCTAATCACATTTTGTCACCTAAGTCCAAGGTCCAACCAAGTCACCCATGCATTTTATGAACCCAATAACCTTCTACAATCTTAGCTTGGAATGTAAACCTTCTGCCTCTCTATCATGTGTACTCTTACATGTCATATAAAATGACTGGTTACTGTCTGTGTCTGAAGGTACAGAGAAATAAAAAATGGTAAATAATAAATATATTTGTATTCATATCCAAAATTAAATCACAAACATAGAAAAAAGATCAAATAATTTAAGCATCGATTTGTAGTGGGTGTGAGAGGTGGTGGGCGACAATGGTGGTGATAGTAGGAGATGGTGATGATTGTGGTAAGTGACAATGAC